TTTAATGCACGCTGATATCACTGCGCTTAATACGCATGCTCTTGCATTCACTTTGTGTATATAAATGTATTTCGGAAATGAACTTTAAACGTGCTATACCTTTGCAGAGAGAATTAATTATATGTTCGAAGGGACCAAATTTAAGTTTTTATACTCACTGTAAGGTGCAAGACTGATACCTGTGTAACTAAAATGGCATTCCACTATGGCTACCCACAGCCCTTATAGTTTATCAGTGATATTTGAGCAGATTTTATAAATTTTCAATTAATAGTGATTTAGAATATATCCATAAATTAATAAACAACATATTTGAAAACATCAAATTCACAATAGAAGAAGAATTAGATAACAAAATCCCATTTTTAGATGTCTTAATCAGGAGAACCAACACAAGAAATTTAGAAACAGAAGTATACAGAAAATCAACGCACACACATAGATCAAATACTCAACTATACTAGCCATTACTCAATTACTCACAAAAGAAACTGTGTGCAGACAATGTTTAAAAGAATTCAAACACACTGTAGCACTCCATAGTTGAAAAGAATGGAAGAAAAATACCTACAAACGGTCTTCAAAAAGAATGGTTAACCTCAAAATTTCATCAAAAATTGTTTAAAATCGAATCACAACATCAACAAGGAACCCTCATCAAAGATCACAAGAAAATTCACCCTACCATACATGAGAAATATCTCTGAAATAACAGCTAGAATAATGAAACCGTCTGATATAGATATAGCACACAAACCAGTCAAATCTCCTAATTTGATATTATGCAAACTGAAAGATTCAACAGAAAAAGAAGATAAAATTAACACCATTTACAAAATAAATTGTATGAACTGTAACAGGCATTACATCGGCCAAAGTGGGCGTCCCCTTTGAATTAGAATCCAAGACCACAAATCAACCGTGAAAATGTGGTGAGAGCTGGCTGTTAATCAAAATTGGTGGACAGTAATTTACGTCGACCTTTTTGTCCTCAATATTGGTCGTGAGAAAATGAGAACAAAGTCTTTGCGTAGGCGGAGACAGTTAATATATAGATGATCTGACATTCAAGAAACAGCCACAAAGAGATGCAAGGTTAACTTTCTGTGAAAAACAACCAATCAGAAGACTGTGTTTTTCTGATAACAATAATCTATAATATGCACATGAAAATCTATAAATATGTGTTGATTTCCTTAATAAATGATCTGTTGCCTGACCCTTGTCTTCTGTTGTTACAAAAAGACACTATATATATTCTTTCATATCAATGCACACAGACAATTATTGACATCAATTTGATTGGGATAATGTCGAAATCTAGGACAAAGGAAACACCAAAAGTGCCAGGGAATTCCTAGAAGCCTGTTACTCAAACGAGTATGCAATTAACATACACGTTAATATAGGCCAAATATACCAACTGATAAAAAGTAAATCAAGCAACCAGAAGGTCTAAATCCGAGTGAATAGAAAATTGTCAATACATATATATGTAAAGATGGTTACCGAGAGACGCAATTATATCACTCATGAATAAATTTAAATCATTTCACTTTATGCTAAATATTGCCCTGAAGATGTTGTACAGAAGGACGACAAAAGCTCCGCAACTAAACCAACCAGCTCAGAGAACACTATTAATTGCAAATCATCTACCTGAGCTACAAATCTCCTCTATTATTTCATATTTTATAAATTATCTGACTAACAGTACCCCTTTACAGTTATATTACTACAATAAGTAGCATCTACTGATGTGATAATCTCCATTTTATAAGCTCACATCAGAATAATACATGCACCTAATTTTGTCTGGGACATTTTTATTTTACCCATTCTAACTGGAATGAACCAGATGAAAAACGGTGATTTAACAGGTGAAGTAACCTATGCATCTGAGGAATAAATATAATAAAACAAGCAGGCGTACCAATAAATAACCGTCTCGAGAAATATTGGTCTCTTAGTTTTCATTAGAAAGCGTCGTAGTTATTGGGACATTTAATAAGCTAAGTTTGTCAACTTATTCAGTATCTACAGATTAAAATAATGTTAATAATGCTAAGTATCACCTCTAGATCAGATGACCAGAAAAGATCAGCAACAAAGATCTCTGAGAGCGAACCGACAGGGAACCGGTTGTGAAACAAGTAGGCAGGAAGAAATGGAGATGGATTGACCATACTCTGAGGAAACCATCAGGTGACATCACTAGGCAAGCCATCGCTCGAGTGGAACCCGAAAGGGAAGCGGCGAGTTGGTCGTCCAAGGGTGACTTGAAAGAAGTCATGTGAGGAGGAGATGAAAGCATGTGGGCAGAATTGGACTGAAATAAAATCCGATGAATTTCGCGATCCGTGTTTGGTGAATTATACTGAATAACGAATGAATAGGGGAAGCAACTCCTAACGGATGCTTAACTTAGTACCACCGAGCAGTGGTTTAATGTCGTCTTTTATCCAATAAGTTGAACTCATATATCTTATAAATAGTTTATCAGTGATTTTTATTCCTACCAGAAATCCTTGTCTTTGCTCTTGATCTAAGCGATCTCTTTCAATAACAGCACTTGAGTTTATTTTGCTTAGCAGAATAAAACATACCACTAGAGAAGCATACTCTGGAGGATCACCTCAACGAAATAACTTGCAATGTTCACATTCAGTTTTTCAGAAAATCATTAAAAATTAAGACTAGTTTCTATATTACTATAAAATTCTCGACTAATAACATAACTGAACTTCTCATGTTCTTCGATTACCGGAATCTAAAATTAAAATCTTTAGCTGCCCCGAATGGGTGCTGTTGTTCCCGATGTTGTGGTTGTCTCTTCATAATAGCTGATCTAAAATTCGTTTGAGTCCTTTGGAGAGTTCACACATTTATTCGCGCATCCTTTCAGGTTACTATATCGATTCTGGATGACTGGCATCATTGGTAATATTATTGTGGCGAGAGCTGTCTGCTAGCCAAAACTGTAGACAGCAACCTATGCCAATGTTTACGTCCCGAATCGTGGTCATGAGAAAAAAACAATAACAAAGCTTAACCTAGAGGAACCTACCAACCAGTCACAGCAGACTTAAAGTGTGCAAATACGATTCGCAGATATATAGCCTGACTTCCTAAGAAACGTCCTTTAAAAGATGGCAGAATAACCTTCAGCAAGAAAACAACCAATCAAAAGACGCTGCTTCTCTGTTAACAATAACGAATCACAATGTACATAAAAATCTATAAGTATCTCTTGACTTTCTCAATAAACGATCTGTTGCATGTGACTTGTCTTTTGTCGTAACATTATTATTCCCTTCAGTTACCAGCTGAACATAGGGCTTAAGCAAGATATCCACAATTCATTCTGTTGTCTAAATGCCTCTTTAGGTGGCTCCATCACTTTCTATAAGCTTTGATCTCCTACTCACACAATCTCCTCTTTTTCACACATGAAGCGCACCAGATTTGTCGTTTCCCATTTGGGTTCAACTGAGGCTTCTCTGTGACTGAGTATGATTATTTCCATTTACTTAAACAAAATGTTAGCTCATTATAATTGCCTGGTGTACTTATTATGGTGATCTTCATAATCGCCTGTTAATGAATTTCTTGCACTTGCTATTTACAGACTTACATTTCGACGTCAAATGTATTTCTAGCACTACAAAACTGGTTACACAACAATTTATTGTGAAAACCTCACTAATCTTAACGTATCATATATATATATATATACCTTTCCAAATACCTACAACTAGTAAAGACATGGCAGCTTAGTGTAGAGAGCATTATGCGTGTATACGTAGTTATGTTGTGTAGCAACTCACAAAACTCAGTGATAATAAAAAAACAGAACAATTCACTTTAATTGATGAACTTTAACTTCTTCGCAGCTCAAAATTAGGATCAACTGACTTGTCTTTTGAAGTGATATGCTTTCTTGAGATTGAAGATCTCAATTCATGCACTTCTACATCCATCGAGGTTTATAATAAGTAATAAAAGATTACTAATAGCCATTCTATCAATGTGGATTCGTGGGAAAGCTAGTAACAGATTCAGGACATGTTTTGCTAATTACCCCACAGACCTTTGCTGCACACTGAAGATCAGTTAACCAGGAAGAATTAGCAGAAGAGAACTTTGGAAACGAGCCAGCTGGAGACAAATCACTCAAAAGCTATACCAAAGAAAATGGAAATGCATCAGACTCACATTGAGAAGACTAGTGAGCGATATCACACACCAGTCCCTCAAATCGAACCGTTATAATAAACGAGTTGGTTGTCAATTAAAGTGTGACACAAGAGAAGATCATGTGAGAAGGAGATAAGTGCTTATGAACAGTCTTGTAGCCAGCTGAGGGGAGCTACATAGGACAAGATGAAATGGAAGATGTGCTCTTGAAAGCCAACGTTACACGCGGAATAAATAATAATGATTATAAATATAAAGAAGCGGACGAATTTCTAATAACATTGTCTGCCTGTTTGAATTCCCATTCATTCTGTTCCCTTTAAACCAAATAAGCAGTGATGCATCACACCATATAAGATCAATGCAGCATTAACCAATAAAACATGGTAGTAAAATTAAATGAACAAAAAATGTACCAAAAACAGTGAAACATTGAATCCTTGAAAAAAACAGTAGTGTTTATTGGATTAACTCAAGTTGTTTTAAAAGTAAGAGTAAGTCAATCATATATCCAAGTGTGAACTATTCTATGGGTAACTTCTATCAGCTTCTTCACAAATAAACACAGTGTGTGTGCGTATATCACTGTGTGGATAAATGACAATAATTTTTGCTTGAGTCCACCAGTCAACTCTAACAAGTGAGTCAAATTTATATGTGTATATTATAATAGAGCAATCGTGAAAATAAACAATTTGTATTCTGCCAAATATGTTTCTATTGGCTATCAAAAATATATGCTGCTTTTAGAAAATGTGTGTTCAGCAAATTTTGAAAATGTATAAATTTTCGGGTAAATGATTACCATGATGAAGATAAAGTTGGAAAATGTTGCTGCCACTCTTATTATTATACTTATCGTCATTTTGTCTATTTTTACAAATTGTAAACTCACAGCCATGGAATGAGAATCTTGAAAAACTGTTAAAACTCCACAATGATTACAGACATGATTTGATGAACTGTAAAGTAGAGGGTCAGCCTCCAGCGAAATACCTTCCAGATCTTGTAAGTTTACTAGCACTTTTTTTCATATAGTTATCCCATTTCTGATTATGATTTGTAATCATAAAAAGAAATTTAATTATACGTTCATGATTTTTCTTTCTAGCAATGGGATAATGATCTGGCTTATTATGCTCAACGGTTATCAGATCAATGTTACTTCAGACATGATAAAGTCCATTTGCCTAAATACAAGCATGTTGGTCAAAATATAGCAGGCTACCAAACAGTTGAGAAGTAAGAAATAAATACATCATCTGTCTAATGCTTTTCTTAATTTCAGAGCTGTTTATGAATGGTTCATTGAGTATAAAGACTATGATTTTTATTCGCATCACTGTTATGGTGTGTGTGGACATTATAAACAGGTAATTTTTCTTTTTTGTTTAAGACGAACAAGTCATTTTGTTAATTTAAGGAGGATAAATGCATTTTGTGAAATAAGCATATCGATAAAATGGTTATACAAAAGCGACGTAATATCGTCTGAGTGTGGATAAGCCTAGGCTTAATAAAGGCATAATTAGGTTGACAGCGATCAGTGTTTCGCTACTGCCTGCTTGTAAACTGTATAGCTCTGATTTTAGCGTTTAAAACGAATCAAGAGGGAATGAAAGCTATTAGCATTCTGAAGCAGTTTTCGTATTTCCAATATTTAATATCTAGTTTATCTAAGGTCTGTTTAGATCTTTTGTAAGTAAAAAGAGATGATGTAAATGATTCACTTATCAGTGCCTAGATAATCATAAGCTAGGTGATATTTAATTCTATTATACCATATTTTCTTGTTCAAACATGTAATCCCTTAGTTTTCCCGTCGTATTTCTTTTATATCCACATTAATTTAACTTGATAGACGTTATCAGCAAAACGGTTTCTTAACGTAACTTCGCATTTTCACTTATTACCACCAAAAAATATTAATTGAATGTCTAGTCCAGGTTGAAAAATTCTACCACCAGATGAAAAAAGTTGGTCTGTCTGATGAATCAGGACTTCAGAAAACAGTTGCTCCTCCAGTCTTATCGGGAAGCACTAGTTTTTATGACTTCGAATAGCTCAGGATCATGCAAAAGTGTTGAGCTTTCACTAGCAATGGCTAACAATCGAAACTGACTAAATAAAACCCATGGGATGGAGATAATTATCAGTCTAGCATAAATAACGAGATAAGTCGTCTGAAAGGTGGTATATCTCTTTTACAAATGAGATATTCAGCATCTAGAATAAACCTCTTTCTTACTTGCTTCATAGCTAAAAGGACAGTAATCCCCTTAATAAAGTTAAATTTTGCTTATTTTCTTAAATCAAATGAACTCAGGTTAACAGACTATCATTTCCATGCTTGTTGGTTAACAGATCAGTTCATTTTTATATAAACTTTTAATTTACTAAGAGAATGAAATATCTTTAAAGCATTCGATAGACTTCTGATACTTCGATATCTTCAGATCTCAGTAAATGAAAAATCCCCATATTGAAATCAAAACAAGATATTGAGCGAACAATTTTGGTTTCGATAACTTCTTCTTCAGGCTGTACAGTTATAAATTCATGATTATTAGAGTATATGTAGCCAATAAAAGCAAATGAAAATAATATCAGAAACTGTATTGGGGTGCATGTGTAAGTTTTATTTATTTTATTTTTATTTTTTTGTTGGCAAAGTTTAAGAATGGAGTCCCAAGAGATGCGAACGCACAATTACCTTGAGCCGACCAGTCAGAAAATAGGAGGAATTTTGCATAAAATTTAACGTATATTTACACAAAAATGCATGAAAAAAAACATTAAACGGATTATATTTCTCTGATATGACTTAAAAATACGTTCCAGTTGCGATGAAGAGTATCAGTTGCTAATTTGGACTAGTTTCTGTAGATGTATTCACCAAAGAGACTGAAGGTGTGCTGTTTTGGGAATGGTTCATCTCTCTTCTCTTGCTGTGTAGTCCTCTCCTCAGCCCTTGGTTTCGTTACTATGGTTCCAGTAAGAGCATTGGCGACTACATACAAGGGAAATAAGGATAACAAAAGAACTTGAAATAAACGAAAAGTCTATTCCTAATCGCTACCCTAACCCTAAAACCTAACCATAAACCCTAACCCTAAACCCTAACCATAACCCCAAAACCTTAACCCTAAACCATAACCCTAACCGTAACCATAACCCTAAACCCTAACCCTAACCCTAAACCCTAAACCGTAACCCTAACCATTGTGCCACTGACGCACACAATGACCGTAACCCTAACCACAATACTCGCCTTAACCCCTATCCTAACCCTAATGAGATGTTAACACATTGTCCAAACAGTAATAAAAGTGTTATCTGGGTGAAACTTGCTCCTTATTTGATGAATAGGGTTGATATTTCAGCTGTGATAATGACAGGAGCCGTTAGCCAACGACTAGCATGCGTTCAAGGTAATTTGAGCGTTGAAGGTTTTGGGACGCTATTCTTAAACTTCGCCTTTTTGTTTTTGATTACAGCTTGATTCCACACTGAATTTTTGGTATAAGTATGGAATTTTCAGCATGGATATCGGCAGCCCAAATTTTGCAGGCCGACCATAGATATGAGGTGTTCGTCGGGAGGGGATCGAACCTCGGACCATATGCATGGTCGGCGAGAGTCCTAACCACTGTGCCACCGACGCACATGTTGAGATGATAGTCCATTAGTTAGCATAGCCAATTTAATGTGCATAGGGTGTTTAGTCAGAAAAATATGATGAAGTGTGAATGAACAATTGGGTGAAATAGTGTTGTTTTATAGTTAGCAGAATACAAGTGTCCTTGGGGTGAGAAAAATGCGATAACCACAAAATACATGTAAAGACACGTTAAAAAAGGAGGCACTGGATGTGAGGGCTGACCGATAATGTCTAATGATAAAATAAAGAGGCTAAATTGTAAATTGTAATAAAATGCTACAGAATTGGTAGGCTTAGTATAAAATCATAAAGGTTGACAAAAATAAGTGTAACAATAAGGTGAAGGACACTTGTATTCTGTTAACCATAAAACAACACTTCATCACATTTTTCTGACTAAACACCCTATACACATTTAATTGACTATGCTTACTAATGGACTATCATCTCAACTTACACATTCACCCCAATACAGTTTCTGATATTATTTTCATTTGCCTTTATTGGCTGGCTACATGTACTCTATTATTGATGGATTTATAACAGTAGAGCCTGAAGAAGAAGTTATCAAAACCACAATTGTTCGCTCAAAATCTTGTTTTGATCTTCAGATCTGTTTATATGAAAAAATGATATCAAAGATCCTATTATTTTTTTAACTCTGCATGCAAAGTATATACTCTAGAAAAAAATTAATTTTTTTCAGATGGTCTGGGAAAATACTACACATGTTGGTTGTGGTGTGACAGACTGCAAAGGTACATCATTTCCATATGGATTATCCGTAGTTTGTAATTACGGTGAAGGGTAAGTAAATTAAACAACAATGTGATAATGTGGACTAAAATGTTATTTCAAAAAAGTATCAAAAATAATCTGTAGACGCTTGTAAAACCTTGTTCTTGTCCATCCTATTTTAGTGGTAATTATCCTAATCAATACCCTTATACAACAAAACCAGCTAGTGAATGTGGTAAAACACCCGTTCCAATTAAAACTACACCAAGGCCAGCTGTTATCACAACACCTCAAAAGCCACCAGTTACAAAGAAACTACCGAAGCCCGACTGGACAAGACTTATATCCACCTGGAGTCAATATGCTACTACGCAAAAGCTTCAAGGAACTGTGACACAAACATGTGTTTGTATTAACTAAAACTTCTGAATAAATATTGAGCTTTTATTGTTGTTCATTTTAAAAATATAAATGTTTATTTGTTGACTATAATAACATTTTTCAATGCTGAACCTGAAATTACGATTGTTTTCTGTATAGGTATCGAAATTATTCACTGTATTCACTGTCTATGCCCTTCACCGGTCTAGTGCATTCTCCTATATAGCAAGCCTCACATCTCGAACACTTCATCCTACAGGCACAGTTGCTTTGTGTCATTTTGGGAAACATATCTGTGACAGTTACCTAAGATTTCTGTAGAGAATTAGAGGGCTTGAAATAAATTTTACCTTATATGAGGCAGGAAAATTTGGAGTTATTCAGTGACATTATAAAACAACTAGAAAACCACAGAAAGCGAAAGAAGTATCTCCCATCACCACATTTTTATTAACTCTCCTACCTGATAATGAACTGCGTCAAAAGTGTGAACGTATCCTGTCGAATAAAACGTAGTTGACCACTATTTCATCGAAGGACCAACGTCATATGTTACAAAACTTAAGATAGAACAAAAGATAGAAATAAAGCTGACAGGGAGATATCACCGTGATTCTTAGTAGACAAGATCATATCGAATATATCGAATAATGTCCATACGCACTAGTGCTCATCAACAAAGTATCTATTAGCATGAATAAAGTAAAAGTAGAGGCTTGTAATCCAGTTATGTTTTCAACATTTCCTAAAACAAACTTGGCTGTTAGATTTCATGGAATGCTGACAATCCACAAGGTAGATGTTCCTTTAAGAGGAAGCATCGATTTCACTAATTCATTAAAATCAACTCTACCAAAATATACATGAGAAATTCTGAAAAGGCTGCAATACAATATTCCTGCGAACATTAAAGTTATTGAGGAATTTAAAAGAAAGGTGATGGATATAACTGTTGAAGAAGATGATATTATGTCAAGGTTTTATGTGATTTCTCAGTTTACTAGTATTCATAAATGTGATTCACTTGATATTATGAAATATGAACTAGAAGACAATTCAGAACTATTAGCTAAATGTTCATTATCAGCCGAAGACATACAATGCTAAAAGCTTTAATTGGAATCTACCTATTTTATTCTGATAGGCAAATTATATTGTCAGACAAATGAAGTTCCAATGGGGGTTACCAGCATCTCCAAGTGTAGCGAATCTTTTTATGAACATTGCATATTTCAACCACATCGAATGCAATGAGAAGGAGAGAGAGGGTAGACTTATCGCCTGTATGGCAGACTCTAATACAGAGAGACAGATGAAGTCCATCTAGTCAGGAGTAAGGATGGAGTTCCCAACGATGACATTAGTAAGCGGACGCGATAAAGTAACGAAACAGTAGAAGTTATAGTTCATGGGCTACTGAGTGAGGGCACAGTGGCTGAATGATCTATGCGCTTGCTTTGCAACTGGAAAGTCCTGGATTCGAAGCCCATAGGGTACAAAAATCGGATGAATCCCAAACTAGGAGGAAACAGATATTCAGTACTCTCTGGTTTTCAGTAGTACTCTAAGTGATGTCAATCCGTGGTCTAACTCGAAAAACAAATCAAATCCTCAAAAGTCAACTACTGAAGATGAGAAAAACCATAAAAATTCAATCATATATTGAGACCTCTGCAAAAGCACTATCGTGTTTTCATATAAAAAATGACGCGTTCTCCAGATGACAGACAACATACACATTCACCCTCATACAAACAAACGTGCAAGTGTGATGTTTTAACATTGGTTATTATAAATATGGCATTCACTTCAGTTTATAAAACTTATCGACTATATAGTTAGATGGTCAATGAGATCCGAGTGACTTTGATGCAGAAGCTGTAGCTTACAATGCAAAACCTTATGGAGAATTTTATTTGTATAGTTTCTGAAACACATTCCTATTGTTTTAATTAATTTACAGTTTGCTAAACTAGCTCGCGGTACAAATTATACCAGGGAATCGGTAACATCTAGTGTCTGGATACTTATGACGGTGAACGCTGTCAAGACATTTTAACAAAGAAAACTGATACTGTGAAGTATTCCCATATTTTGAATTAAAAGTCAATCTGAACGAAGAATATTCTTCTCAATAATTTCTCTTCAGTTTCTTACAATTATAAAATATGATATTTGTGGTCGTTACAATAAAGGCCAGTTATGGGCGGATACATTTTTAATGTAGAATAACATATTAGTAGTTATGGGGTATCAAAATAAATAGTCGTATTTGTCACACAAATGTGTGACAAACGTGCTAGGCTGAAATCGATTACCAAAATATTGTAAAACAGGAGACAATGATGGTGATTAATCATAATATATTTGTAGAGTGTGCGGTAGGAAAATTGACAAGTCAGTTCAAGGTTATAAAAGGTGTCAGGTGAGTGGCTAGTAGAAAGTGGTCTGTGTTTAACAGGAAATATTAGGACTAAAATGAGAGGTTCATAATGAAATAACCAATATGTGGTGACGTGAAACAGGTGGAGGCATATATTGAGAAAAGAGATAATATCACTAGCAATATGTCCGGATAGTATAAATGAACGATTTGATGGTATTGAGGTAATGTTTTTGCCTGTAGGGCATAAATTATGACGAATAATAATAATTGTAATAATAAGCAAACGAAAAAAACCAAAGGGATTAAAGGGCAGGAGCACTCTTGGTGAGAAGAAGAATCATCAATCAAAGTTTGGCCTCGGCCTTTATTGTAAAGACAATAAATATTATATTTCAAAATAGTAAGAACCCGAAAAGAAATTATTGAACAGAATATTCTTCGTTCAGATTGACTTTTAAAACTGATACTGTTACATATGGAAATAATGACAACACTATGTAGCACAAAACGTTCCTTGGAGAGAAAGACAATCGACGGATATATTAATCCATTGATGGCTCCTTGCGACGAATATATTTTTCAGAGTAATCCTCAAATATCTGAGCATAAAATATCTCTGGAAAAGTTCTTCGGATCGACGCGAATAAATTTACTTCTCAAAATGGTTAGACTGAAATGCAGCATATGATTTTTAAAAAAATATGCCGTCAAAACACCATGAGGAAATTGAGTTTCAGAATTTGAGGTACAAACATGTACACGCCTTTACATTAAAATAACATCAGAAACTCCCATCAGAATATTTCCCACGACGGATAATTACTTAATTGATTTTTATACTTGATATATTAAGCTGCGTCGGTGGCACAGCGGCTAGGACGCTCGCCGACCATGCACATGGTCCGGGTCCCATCCCCGGCCGACGCACTCATTTACCTCGCTAAGCCAGAAATAAAGTTGGTAAAGAAGAAAGGTTGAGCACGAGGTTAGCAAGCTCATCCTGTAAAAAATTAAACACAGCTACAGAAACTTCAAGCCACTAGCTTGATGCCGTATGTTCCACTGGTAACGTGAATAAAAAACAAATATATTAAACTAAATGACATAACCATATCAAATCTTCTGGAAAATATCGACAACTCATGTGATTTCACAACACTCTTTTGTTGACGTCCACACTAGTAAACAAACAAATCATCTGCCTGTCAATTCCATCTGATTCACATCAATCGCTTTCGTCAAGTGATGAATCAACTTGGATTATACAATGTCACAACAAGAGTTTTGTAAGAATTGATTCTGTGAAGTACATAATATGACAGTGTTCAGATGTCATGTGTTCGTCAACAATATCTGCAACAATATCATACACCCACTGTCATTTCACAGAATAAATACATTCAATTGTGTTTACATCATACATGGTGAAAATTTATTTTCAGTCTCATCGTGTTTTTTTTAAATTTTGTCTCACCACTTTGACATGTCTGAAGGTGTCATTCATTGTGTGACTGTCTACGACAACAACCCTTTCTCCTGTTCATCGTTGCACGTATGTTTTGTGATTGATAGCACTAATGGTGTTTTTGAGAATTACAAGTGACATTTGAAGTAAAGGTGAATTACTCCAACATGGAAATCTGGGGCAATCTTAGAATTCAAGGTACATTTTAGTCAAATCACTCATCGGGATGAAGTGCGTTGTGCATGCATTTATCATCTTCTGAATGAAATTGAAAATACTCCATTGTCTTACATAAATCCAATATAATGCAGAAATCGCCAAATTCATGCAGTGGTTCTATACTGTTTATAATAGCATTATTAACACGCAATGGCATAACAGTTATGGCCGATTTTATGTACTAAGTCAAGTAAAATTAAAGCACCTCATGTTTGCACCGGGAAATTTTACGATTCCCATCAATCAGTCGACACTCAGCACGCAAGCAGTTAGCCTAGCGTGAGCAAGAGTATCATTTTCAAAAACATCAAAATTTATTTAGATAAAAATGTTCTTCACCAATTCACTGAGTTAATTTTCTTCGTCATGCAGCTATTTCAAGCAGGATTGTTTCATAAATTTATGCATAATTGTGGATAATATATTTTAGAATTAACACAACAATCTTTGCAGTAGTACTCGAAAATTAAATGAAGAATCTAGACGGAAGGGGATAGAGAAGATAGAAGCGTAGCCACAACCACTTCAGCAGAATGACCACAAAATCTCAAATGGTGAGAAACCAGTCCAACACCATGTCATTTAGTCTCCTTGTAAGCTAGACATCAAACAAATTTCATAAAAATGAAAAAGTTTCTGACACATTAGAGAAAACACAGACAGACTACTAATATAAGTGAAGAATATCACTGAAATCCATTTACATAGACAAATTATCAGGATACAATTAGTGGATGGTGACTAGCAGTGGAATCCAGGATGCGCATTTCGTCCTATTTGGGACTCGTCTGCCAGCTGGATGTACCTGCATTTCTCAGTGAGTGATGATGTTCCCACCGAGGCTCGAACCCAGTGCCAATGGTTTCAAACTCCAAAGCGGTATCCACTAGACCACTTGGGCCAAGAGAGCCACCTCTTGTGCAACATCGTCGAAGCATCTGCACAAGAAGCCGACATGTCAACCTGAGACCGAGTACTTCGGTCCAATCAATCGACGGGAAAATCAAAAATTCAATTCAGTAAATTATCAGGATGTTCATTGCCTGGTTCACGCAAAATGAGCGTGAAACTAACATAAAATTGAGACTTCACTCAATTGAAGTAAGCTACCAGTGGGTCGCTGATTTCTAAACAGTTGACACTGTTAAGGGTGGTGCACCTCCAACTCCAGTAAGTGCCAGCGTACAACACACACAAACAGAATCCAGAACTTGTCATCTCAAACGAGGATACCTTATCCCAATTCGCGA